ACTATTAAATGAGGTGTAACATGATGAGGGTGTGGGTGTTTTTGGCAGTTTACTATTTTCACCTATTGCTTGTTATTGGATGTGATTGTCTAGTTTGGTTTAATGTTGTATGCCTGCCAGGATGAGGTTATCAAAAAATTCTTCTGTTCACTCTAGTGGGCTATGGTTTTATTGATCAGGTGACTTTCTCGAAATGCAGAAAAATTATGGATAGAAGGACTAAAAACTGTTGTAAAAACTACCAACATTTTAATAATCTAACAGCTGCAAAAGGTTACAATAATTCTGGTTGATTTCTACTAATATTCTTGAGACATTGGGGATAGTTAACAGTATGGGTAGAAGCTTGTGTTTGTGTTGAAAGTTCCTGCAGCTTGTAGAGAGAGAGAGAGAGAGAGAGAGAGAGACAACATTCTCTCCGGGTGAAACAAAAGACTGACATAAACTGGACAAGTGACTGTCTAGAGAAATGAATGTTATCTTTCTATAATGACCCTCTTTGTTAGGAAAGCACATGGCCCTTCTGAAAGTACCTCAATCAGATTCTGGATTTAGACTTTTAGTAAGAATCAATGTAGTTTGAGAGGATAGCCCATTATATAAACAGTTCCGAGACTTGACAGGATTTTGCAGAATTTTAGCAAACACATTAATCTTACCACCTCAACTTCCTTGATGTTGTGAAGTAGGATAGGGAAAATTCAGTCATACTAAATTTACTAGATTTATTTTGGGTTCAAATCCTCCTGATGCCTTCTTCATAAGCATTTTGTAGGTCCTGGTTAATATTTCTAAAATAAATCTTTTCCATCAGGTTCCAGTCTGGTAAACTAAACTTCCATACTTTTTTCACTTAGTGTTTTTACTCCTTCACTTAACTTCTTAACTCTCTGAATGACATTTCATGCATCATTATGACTCGGAGTCACTGTCCTCTTACACTGTTGAAATTTTATAAGATAATTCTCTTAAAATAGCTTTTCACAAAAATAGGTTTTTTAGGTACACTGTTATTGCACTTTCCAGTATTGATGGGAGTTTCCTTCCTAATCTTTTGTTTGAAATAGTGTGGAAAATCTACATCTTGATTGTCATTATTTTCTCTTAGAGTTACATGTGCTATCCATTTTATTTGTTGTTGCTGTTGAAATCTTCAAGTGGTGTGGTTTCTGTTATATGGTAAAGTTCTTTGTGATTTTGTAGTGCCAATGCACAAGATTCGATGAGAGATGGTCCTCTCTAATATTTACATGATTCATTCATTTGAACCCATTTTTAATCATTGATCTGAGAAAACTTTTATACAACTGACAGTTTAGACATTTTTGAATAAATTGGACACCATGCATGATATCCATATTAGATTTGATGAAGCTATATAAGAACAGGACTTGATTTCTTAAGTTAATGTTTTAGTTTTGTAGGATCTTGTGGTGTTGATAGTTATTTACTACTCTTAGTCTGGCATAAGGTGATCATATTGGAACATCTAATAAAACTCAAACCTGCTATACTAGCAATTTTACTTACAAAACAAACTTGTTATGATACACACTCAAATCAAAACCTATATCAAACTAAGTGATGATATAGGATTTATTTTTAAAGAAAATTGTATAGAGACATTATGCAATGCCCAACCTTTTATAAACTAAAATAATAATGAGTGATATCCTCCCAGTTAAATAGCCGAACAGATTAGGTTCTCAAACCTTGGGTGGCAACCAGTCTAGGCTAATCTTAAATTCAAAACTGGAGATGGCAGCCAGAAATTACTCCACTATCCCTATGTCATGAGAATTGACAAATATTAAAAGAAAAGAAAGTTGTGGAGAGCCATGACGGCCTACCTCTTGAAGAAATATGGCATTTAAATAAAAAAAAAAATGAGTGATATGTTTTATTCAGTGAAGAGTTTTATTTTTTCTTAAATTAATATTTTGCTCTAATTTTTCCTTTTCAGTGTTCATCCAAGATTGGGAAAATCTTCTGTAATCAGTTTTTATACTTTTAAAATCTTCAATATTCAGATTGGTAATGAGTAAACAGATATCAATCTGGATAATATCTAAAACAATATTAGATATTAATGATCACTCATTGCATAAATATCAAATTGAGTTTCATTCTGTAATGTCAGGAATATTTATCTCTGTAAACTTTAAAATTGTAAGAATTATTGATGCAGCTATTGATCACAAATACAAATCATTTTGGATAAAATACTCGGATATTTTAATCGAGCATTTTTAATCATATTTTTTCTACTTTGCTTTTAGATTATCAGATTTGGTTGTGCCACCCCGGATTGTACGCCAGGTGAGCTGGGTGAACACACTGTGGCCAGACCAGTTACCTGAGGACTGCACCTACTCACGGCCAGAGGTACAGAAGTACTGTCTAATGGGTGTACAAGACAGCTTCACTGACTTCCATATTGATTTTGGTGGAACCTCCGTGTGGTACCATGTGCTCCGCGTAAGTATAAGACTTATTTTTGCCTCTTTCACATCTGTTATTTCTTTAAATGTACCCAATTCTTGAATTACTTTTACATTTTTTTTTTAAATACTGTTCAAAAATTGTTTGATTTTTGATGAAATATTTTCATTATTAACTAAATATCTTTACTTTTAACTAAACAGTATGGATAAATAAGTAGCTACCAACGAGATTTATTGTATATCCATGAGAATCCATCAGACACAGATAATTATTGATTAGCCACATAAACCAATGAGCTAAGTTAAAACCTAGCCATAAAACTACTTTGTTTTCAATCCAGGTTGATTATTTAATGGTTATAAAATATAAAATAACCTGTGCATTGTGATAAAAAGTAACAGGGAGATGAAAGATTACTCTAAAATTAAGTTACCTTTGTAATCTTATTTTATTCCTATCAGGCCTAAAATTATTTCACTAAATAACTTTTCATATCTATAAAAATGTACCTGAAAAATGTCTTAATTTCTTTATTTCTTTTTTTTTCTTTTTGCATCCAAAAATGCTCATATAATTAAAAAAAAAAACTCAAAAATCTCCTGGATTTACATTCATTAGTCCTCATCTGACCAAACCTATTTGATCAGATTTTTGGAAGTGGGTTTTTGAAATTTTTGAGCATCCACTTAGTATCTGCTGATATCATTATGCTTTCTTCAATCAAATAAACCTCTTCTACATGTTTCACTGTATGTTATTTCTTGGCTCATACACAGAAACAACATCTTTTCTCCACACATGATAAATTCACTAAAATACAGCTTCCAAAATTATTTGATTTCTCTAAATGTTGATGTTCAAACCTCACTCAAATAATTATGTGCATCTCAAGTAAAGGAATTTTATGTGGTGCTATGGGATTTTAAACTATTCTGATATAGTTCATCACTAATGCTACAGCCATTTTAAAATCTAGCAGTTTCCGTTTTATTGGATTTTGTTCAGATATTTTACAGAACATTACATCAAAAGTTTTAATTTAGATGTCTTAAACTTCTATATTAACAGATATTTAGGTTCTTAACAAGGCTGCTGTAATTTAAACTATCAGAATGAATGTTTCTTATTTCGTTCTTTTGTTGATTTATCAACACTTTAGCAATAATGACCACTGTGTCAAAAAAATACAACTGAAAATCAAACAATATTTATATTTTTTTTTTACTATTCTTCTTCAGCTCAAAAAGATAGTTATTGTCATGTCTATTCTTTAAAGAAAATGCACCACAATGTTTTGTAAATTTGAGTTTTATTATTTGTTGTTGGTGTTAGAAAATAGTTTAAATTTTGTTTTACAAAACTTTTAATTTCTGTGATTCCAAACCCAAATTAAATTGTTTTAAACGGCAGCATTTCCTTTTTATGAAGGCATTAACTTAACTACATGCTAAATTAATAATAAAAAAAAAAAAAAAAAAAACTTCTGAAAATTATGTTTAGTAATTATTTGATTTTCATTTTTTTCCACAATTAGTGAACATATTATTTAATTAATAAATATAATTCAATAAAAAATTAATTTTCTTGATATTTGTATAATTTGATTTTTTGCCAAAATATTTTTCATTTATGCAGAACTCTAAAATATTATTTTCTATTTTTTTCCTAAATAAGATAATGATATTTACAAAGTAAACACAATTTCTCTCTAAATATTTAAAATTGGTTTGGGTACTATAAAATTAATTATTATTTAAGAAAATGAAGTTATTATAAATCAAATTCTATATAAAATGTGGATTTCTCCACTGCTAATTAAGTCATCATGTGTATTTTTCTCCTAAAGAATACATGGCATAAAAATATACGAGACAAGTAGAAAAAGCAGATATTAAGACATGTATTTTGTATAATTATGTGATAATGTGAACATTGTTTTTAATACCTTGGAAGTATCCTATTTTTAATATTTGTATCATTTATTGTTTTTTTTTTCCCCAGGGTGAGAAGGTGTTTTATCTTATTAGGCCTACCCCAGCCAATATGACTTTGTATGAAAACTGGATCTCTTCATCGAACCAGAGTGAAACCTTTTTTGGTGATCAGGTGGACAACTGTTATAAGTCTGTGGTCAAGGATGGACAGACATTGTTTATTCCAACTGGTTGGATTCATGCTGTCTTCACACCTGTTGATACTCTTGTGTTTGGTGGAAACTTCTTGCACAGCTACAATATACCACTCCAGCTCAAGTAAGCCTCTCCTTCAAACATTTTGCTGCTGTTATTGTGATATATTACATATATTAAGAACAACATTCATACCAACCTCAAATGTCATATGAAAGTCAATTTTCTGTTAACTTTTTCTATAAGCAATTGTGGATTGAAGAAATTTTTCCTTGTGTGTGTTTTGTATATGTATATTATTTCTGTAAAATTTGGTAAGTTACATACTGATAAAATGGTATGTTCCCCACATACTGTGTTAAATTATTTTTTTTTTTTCTGAATTTTAACTCTTGCAATGAAGTTGACATTTTCCTTTCCTCATCAATGAAATTGAATATTCATTGCAGAGTCTATGAAATTGAAAGGCATGTAAAGACACCAGAAAAATATCTCTTTCCCAGTTTTGAGACAATTTGCTGGTATGCAGCTAAGTATGTACTTGACATTTTAAAAGGTAAGTTAGGACATATATTTTTTTACGATATGCTTTTTTATTCAGACCATTATGCTCAACTTGGTTGTTATACAATGTTTCAGCTGTTGTAGCCTCTGGGCTTCTTCATATATGTCAGACTTAAGTTACCAAATCTGACAGATACCTGAATAAAAGAATATGAAATAATCTTGAGGCTACTGATTTTTGCTTTTCTCATTGGTTTGATTTACATTATCTAAGTTGTAGATACTGTTACGAGGATGCATTTCTATAATAAGAAAGTCTCAATAAGGTTAAAATTTATAGTAAGGGATTCTACTGAGTCCTACCTGTTAATACAAAAAAAGTTTTCTTTCATGAAGTAGATATAAAATAGAAATTTGAAATAGAACGTTTGGAAGATTCTAGATCATTCCAGTATATTCGAGAATAATCTAGATGATTCGAGAAACATCTAGAAATATGCAAATTAGGTGTTAGCCCCTATAAAAATGGGATTTTGGAAAAGGGTTGGCAGTTGATGAAGGGAAATTTCTGCTGTTATCAACTCCGGCTTTTGATTTGAGGACTATTATATCCAGCCAAAAGTATCTCTAAAAAGATGCCGACCAACAAAATCCCAAAAGAAAATTTCATGGAACAAATTTGGTAAATAGAATTTTGACTAATTTTCATTGACCAAACTAAAAATTAATATTTATTTACACACCTTTGTGGATTTCCAAATATAGCACTTAGATTACTTTGCTAGCCCTAAAGTGATAAAGATATTTGACTCACCTTCCTCCTCTCTCATAACACTTCGCCAGTTTTCTGTTTTGTAGGCCACAATTGTTTATCTTGTATATATTTTATGTTGTGTTTTAGTAAATTAAATATTTGTTTGTGATTTAGTTCTGTGTTGTGGTAAATCATTTTTTTTCCTTTGTTACAATTAACAACACGTAACAATACAAACATCAAATTGACAGAAAACACTTAAAACTTTTTGTAGAAAAAAAAGAATGATCAAAAACTAATGAATTCCTTTGACAAAGCTGTTGAAAATATATTGCAATATTTTAACTTTAATCAAGAAAATGGCTATACAGTTTTTCACTTCTTAAGCTTTTCAATATATGCATCCTCTCCCATATATACATATTAAAATGGTTCAATTTTAGATTTAATCTTTTTTATGTGTTGTAAATCATTAAGTTTAACAAAAAATATTTTGTTAGAAATTCCCAATATTTTAACATAAATCACCTCATTCATTTTACTGTCCATTCTCAAAATATTAATTTTTACAAGATGAAAGCATGTTTAAGTTTTTAGTATAAGTCTATGACTGCTGGAGTTATTTTACTTTCCTAAATATGTAGTTTCTTATGTAATTTTAATATGAAAATATAAAATGTTCACTTTGTTGAAATTACTTAAAATACAATCACTTTCACCCTTTTCTCCATTTTATGTGCTCAGTTACAATATGTATCTATTACTCTTATGTATGCAAAAATAACTTGTAACTGTTTTAGTTACAACCTCGGGGGAAATAGTGGGAAAAAAATTTCAGATTATTTATAACTATTTTAAGACTATCCAGGAAAAATATTTTCTGGTGATTGGTTTGACAATCATACTGGAATTTTCCTTTTTGTTTGTATCATAGGTTATCAAAATAATGTCACTTAGTTACAAGTGAATGCTAAAAGGTATAGTGCTAAAATGTTATTGACCTAACCAAAGAGGGATTTTTAAAAAAAAATCTAATGTTTGATTGTTTGGTCAAATTTTGAGAAGTGTGTTGAACCCAAGAACTTTTCAGTACTTCTCATAAACTCTCAAGGCATCTGTTCATAGAAACAATTCTTTCACTTACTCATTTTACTTGTTTAATGCTAAATCACTTTCAATCTTTTCTTAAGAATACAAATGACAAGTTTCATTAATATTTTATTTGTAAAATTGATTAAAAATTTATAATATATTATCAATTATTTTTCTCTGAAAGATTTATATTGATACATTAATTATTTTTATTGTTTCACTTTAGATTTAAAGCTAAAAATCAATAAGGAAAATTAAACTGCTTTAAAATGCAAAGTTCTTTAAATCTTCATGAAATCAGTGTAATTTATTACCATTGAACTGTTTCCCCATTTTCATTTTTAAAGAAAATTAAAGTTTATTATAGTTAATATATTCTTAAATTTATGGTTATCTATTTTATTAGGTGGAGATTAATTTACAGGCAATGATATAAAGTCATGCAAATGACCTTTATTACATTGAATACACTTAGTTTTTACTTGAGAACACTGTGATGATGATGATAATGATGATCATAAGATTTATTTTATTGAGAGTAAGACAGGTTCATTGTATTCCATTATATACTAATCTCATTCAAATAGCCTCTGTATCTTGTTTCTATCTCTCTAGAACGGCTTGGTACTTTTTTGTTTTGGGGATCTTTTTCAGTTTGATTCAAATTTGAGACAAAATATCCACTATAATCAAATTTGAAATTGATATAATTTATATGAATGGCCTTGATTATAACCCAATTTGCTATGATACTCTCATGACCTTATATACACACTTTTTTTCTTTAGAGTGTGAAGAAGATGGGAAGAAACCATCTGACTACATTATTGCTGGTGGCAAGGCCCTCTCCCAGCACCTTAAATCATGGACCCAGAGGAAAGATGTGAGTTTGTTTTTACTTTTATGAGTTTGTTTTTATTCTGTCACAATTTATACAAGTGTTGTTTTTCCCCCTTTTTCTTTGTTGTTTGTAGTATCTTTGTATTTCAGATATTGCTCCCACCTTTTTTTTAATTCTTAATTGATTTAAGCACCAGTAAGTGATCATCACTCACTCAATTTTCTAACAAGTTTTCAAAGAACTCACATGTTCAAACCAATAAATATCACCATTTCCCTCTCCAAATTTCTTTATATCACTCCTTTACTCCATTGCTTGAATAGGCGCACTTCACCTACATTGAATGATGTTAAATCTCTTAAATTGTCATTTCTTATTCCTCTTTGTTAATTTACATATAAATTGTTTAAAATTCTGAGTAATTGAATGAACTTGCATTTACCAGTTGTAGTCATTGACTATAACTGATAAATGCATCTCCTCTTCCATCATTAAATTAATCTTTCGTAAGATATTTCTTGGACTTAATTAATACCACAATTAACACATAATAAATTACCTACCATATTTACTTCAAATCCTGTATACAATACACTTCAATATACTCCTGCCATTAATTTTTCATTTTAGATTTATTTTGGACTTCATAGCAAACACATTTTAATATTTTTCTTTAAGTCATAACAACAATCATTTCAATCACTAAAATTATCTTAAACTTGTTTTTTTATATACTACAATAATTTTCCTTTATCTCTTGCTTAACTCAGGTATCATGTCAAGTCATATTACAGTTTATTGCTAATGAGTAAAAACATTAACTCTTATTAAAAGACATTAACTCTTATGCTCAATTGAGAACTTTATATTAGAGATATGTTAATCAAATTATAACTTTTTTACCACTCTAAAAGAGGATGGTTAAGTCATCTCTAATGTCTGCTATAAGCATTTATTTTTATTAAAATTAAAATTCTGGTATTATACTTGGGAAGTAAATAAATATCTCAGTGTAAAAGGAAAATTGCAAATAAATTTAACTTTTCTTTTTTTTTAATTAAAAAAAATACATTTAAAAATTCACACAAGGATTAATAATCTATCATTAATTGTTTTTTTAATTTAAAATGTTGAACTTAAAATGTAGAGAATTTCGAATGAACGTTAAATGAAAGTTACTTTTTCTATCCATATTAAAAATTTGAACTGGTCCCTCCAGTGTTTTAATTATTTATTCAGTTATGACTTCCTTAGGAATATAGGGCTACAGCTTCACCACATTAGTTGTTGCTGCTAGTAATAATATTAATCAATACAATTCATTTTGCTAGATATATTCTGAGTTATAGTACATTTTCAATACTTCTTTAATAATACTAGTAGAAATGTAAAATAATTTTAGATTTTTAAAATCCTTCATTTACCAGTGATTTTAACCAATTTTTTGTGTCACTAATTTTTTTACCTTAAATTATATCACAAACTTTTGCAGAAATACATACTGACTTTAACTTGGTCATTTCTTTTACTGTTTACCTTTCTGCATATGCTTCATTTCTCATATGAATGACAAATTGACTAAAAATTATATTTCTGTAAGCCTTTCTTTATTACTCCTTAACTTTTATCATTTGAATAAGTTCTGGTAGAAATTTTTTTAAGTATTTATTTATCAAACTGAACTATTTTTTTACTTTAAATATTCATTTATCAAACTGGAGATGTAAAATTTCTATACACAACAGATGGTAATTTCCAACCTAAACTTTTTCTTAACTAGAGAATCTGCCTGTTGGAATAGGTGTAATGCTCATTTATAATAGTGCTTTTCCAACTTTTAAACAATATTGAACTTTGCCATACTTACTTGCATCTGAGATAGCTCCATGGTTCTTAAAAAACATATTGCAATAATTTTTACTTTAACACAGATTATTCAGTTTCATAAAGGGAGTTTGATTTACTTTCACAAGCACGTCTTACAAAATAATCTTTTCATAAATAATTTATCAATGAATAAATTCTGAAAATTTTACTAAAATCTGATTTGTTAAAATCTGGGAGCTTTTATCTAAACTTTTTCTCATAAATTATTACATCACACCATATAGTTCATACAAATAATTTTTATATCAGAATTTTCTCCAGTCTTTTTGTTATGATGATACAATTAACTTTTATCCAAGTTTGGGTTTGTTTTTTTCATCATGTGTTTGTGCCAATATCTAATATATATATATATATATATATATATATATTTAAAGAACTAATCAAGTCTTGAATCTCTTTTATTTTATTTTTTTTTTCATAGGATGTTGCTTAATCTACAGTATTCATTTCAATTATCCTTTTCTCTCAGGCTTATATTGATGACTCAATCATGTTAATTGTTACTTTGCATGAATTATAAATTTGAATTTTTTGTTGTTTATATTAAAACATTGTTATTTCAAGATTTAAATAATTGTAATAAGTTTAATATATTTAATCTCTGTGTTTTGTATTATGTTTTATGCTTATATACAGAGAGGTACTGAAAAATTCTTGACTTGGCTTCTTTCCAAAATCTGAGCATATATATATATATATATATATATATATATATAATCCTTTCTTGGTCAGGCCAAGAATTTGGCACTCCTTTCTAAATCATTGAAATCATCAATTACATTCTCTAATTGAAAAATGCTTTTGCTTAACAAAATTTATGCCCCTCATGTACCAAATATTGATATTGTTTGAACAAACAGGATTATTAAAAATTTATTCTTCATAAGATGAAAAGGATAAATTAAAAGATGGAAATTTGTTTTCAGTGTAGGATATCATCTGAAATTGCTGTAAAAGAAGTGTTTTATATCTAAACATACATTAGATAAAACCAAATGATATAAAAAAAATTAAAAACTATTGCCTGTTACTAAAAAGAAATATTTTATCATAAATACAAGAAGTGTGTGCACTTTCATATTTTATAATTTTAATGTACAAGAAGGTGCTGAAAACATCTTGGCCTGACCAAGAAAGGATTGCAAAATAAGTTAGGGAAATAGGTCTTGTTGAGACCATTTCAGCACCCCTCATATAATGCATTAATTAAACATACAATATGTCGTACTTTTATATTTCATTTTTACTGTAAGATTTAGTTTTCTTTTTATAAATTAATTTTTAAAAATAAAGGAAATACTTTAGCAGTAGTATTAAAGAGAAAATGTTATAATATAGATATAAAAAAGCATTGGTTGAATGACTTTATGAAGTGACTTTACCCAAAAAGTTGTGAGTTCAATACCTGGCCACAGCAGAAGGAACAAAAACTTGTTGAGTTACTTAGGAAAATTAAATGAAACTGAGCTATCCAAAGGCAGGGCACCTGGAATTAGAACAATTAATGCCCACACACACGCCAGATTAAATATCACCTGAAGAAGGCAGGAGTGTACAATGGCCGAAATGTTGTGAATATGGCAATAAAGATGAGGACAACAATGTAAATAGTGTAAATAGGCATAAAACACCTTTTTATATCTATTTTAAATTTATAAGGGAAAAATGAGAATAATGTATTCATCTTTTAGTGACACCATGTATAATAGTAAATATTTTCTTATTTGGTTAATCTGTTCTTCCAAGAACATTTTATAAATAAAATGCAATTTGAAATCCCAGAATAAAATGCTCTTCCTGTATATTTTAATTGACTACTATTTAACCTTTTAGTAGTTGATTGTAACTTAAATATTTCTGGTTTTATTCTTGCTTGTTCATTTCACAAGTTTTACAATAAATTGGCCACATTATACAAAAGAAAAATTGATTTTTATTTAAGTATATTTAATGCTTCTTGTTGATTCTAAACAACCAACATTATTATTGATTGCACTGGAATTGCCTGAAAAGTTTCTAATTTCTTTAATGCTTATTTAGTTGACCAGTAAATTCTAATTTGTTTCATGACTGCAAGGTCTACTTGTTGGGTACTCAACTTGAAATTGATTTCATTTTTCCTTTGCTCTGTTTTAATTATCTTATCTTTGTGAGTTATTATGGAATTCAGAAGTTTTTACAAATAATAATTCTTTTAAAATAGCTGAAATTCTTCAGGCTTATTTAATTGCAAGGAAAAATTCATTTATTCAAGTCTTTTGTCTTTTTTTTTTTAATTTTACATTTTTGTGTCTTAGAAAGCATATTTTGTTGTGGGTTTATGATTTCCATCCATTGGAAAATGATTAAGAAAAATTAATGTCTTAATTCAATATTGAAATATTAATTTTTCTTGTCACTTAACGGGAAAATGAAAACTAAGTTTTGTATGTGAAAGTTTTTTAGCAGAATTGTCTTTATAGTCAAGATAATTTATTTTCATTTGTTAATGATACTTTCTGTCAGAATGATTAACTTTTATTATTGGTAGCATGAAAATTTTGATTAATATTAAAAACAATCTGATTTATGAGCAATGTTTATAAATTACCAACATGTTGAATGGCTATTTTAGACACATTCATATCAGATGCAAACACCAGAAGCAAACTTACATTTTTATTGTTAGCAGACAAATTTCAATGATAATGTGTGAAGTTTATCTTATAGCATGATGTCAGTACCCAATTCCATTCAAATTGAGTAATTGTTCACTAATTTAAAACAAACCTTTAAATTCATCAAAGTCAAAAGTCTTGCACATGTATCACTGTTCTGAATTTCCTTACAAAGGAAAACCTTTTGATGCTAGATCAAGGTTTAATTTTTTGGGGGAGTCATTTACAATGCCATTGAATACTGTCTTCATTCATTTATGCAGGCTCACCTAGTTTCTTTAGCTACTTACTTTCTTCCCATGATTTGAAGCAATTTTCTAGAATAAGTTTTGGGGATTCTCAAGTTATAAACAGTTTTAAAATTACTTTATTTTAATGATTGTGTGAAAAACAGTCTTTTCAACACTGCTACAAATACCAGAATATTGCATTGTAACTGATAAAGTCAATTCTAAACTATTTTCATTTGTAACATATCCATATTATCACATCTTTATGTCTTCAATTATTTTGGTTATTTTAATCTCCTCAGCCATATGAAATAAGCAAAATTTAACATTTTATTGGAGAATTCAGAATCTCTTTCTAACCAGAATTTTCACTTACCAATTAAAACTGACTTTTCATTTCTGTTTATCCATTTCTATGGGTGCTATGATGCTTAATATTTCTTTCTTTTTTTCTTTCATGGCTGTAATGTGCTGGAGAATGAAAAATCATCTTATACAATTATATTTAGTAATTCTCTTCATTTCAGTTAAAGAGTGCAAGTTAGCAATTAGCATCTTAAATGAAAGGTTGAAACTTAAATATGGCAGTGTCTAGAATAGGCACTCAAATAGCCATGTTTTAAAAGTAATAGACAAAAGAAAACTGAAAGCACCTAAATATTTGAGAGATGCAGCTGATCACTGAATGTATCAGCAGTCTTTTGAAGGTGTATATTGCAATATCTAAATTATTTGATTATCTGAAAAAATTGTTTATGTGTGATATCTAAAGCTTGTATTAAAAACAATGCGAGTCTTCAAAAAGATATATATTTGATGTTGGCTAGGTAAGCATGTGTCTGACAAATATGTATGCCTGAGTGATTGACAGGAAGCAGTTCTAATAAGAATAATTTCTCAATTATAGTATTCCATAACTGATTTGCTCGTAAAATCTGATATGCCTTCTTTGGTGCTTTTATTTTTCTTTGTCTGAATTTTTCTTAATGTTACAATTTTTTTGGGAAATAGTATGTGAAACAGTCATACAGTGAACCCAAAACAATTGTTTACAATGTTTAAATGATTGGAATTGAAACAGATTTTACAAAGCAGTAGCAGAAGATTGTATCTGGGATGACATGATAGGTGTGATTCTGTATAAAATTCTGATATTATCATCATCATCATTAATCTAATGATGCTTTTTTCTGCTGTACTTCCACAGTTGAACAGCCAATATATCGTGAGTTTCCTTCTGTTTATTTATTCTTATACTACCTGCATATTTATATTCTATATTTTTGTCTTGATTGTTTCCAAGGATTGGTCATGACATGTGGTAACCACAGCATTTGACTTGCTCCAGATGCCACCTCACATATCTTTCCTGGATTGCACATCAATGAACTCGGCTGGTCCTAACATTATGGATTTCTCATATATAATTTTAGCATTTAATTTCATAAGAGAAGATAAATAAGCAGGTCTTCTCAATGTGGTTCCTAATTATTGAATCAAGTCTGTCTAACTATTTATTACTATTAGATAAATACAGTTGTCAACCCATTGTACCTAAAAACCAGTCTATTCTAAGAGATTCATGTAAATCAGAAGTCATGCATTACAAAAAATATGATTACAAAATGTAACTGTTTTATTTTTAATGATATTACATGTTACAGAACAATTATACTATTTTTTGAAATATAAAAAAGATACTTTAAATAAATAACAAATTAAGCATAAATATTTTAGACTTTCTTTGAACAAAAGCCTTACAAATATGTAACTGCATGTGTTTTTATTTTATATCATTAAAGTTACTGCTAAAGTCTGCTTATGTTGGACATACTGAAATTAGTATTTTGAATTACTGATGAACTTGTACAATTAATTTTTTTTTAAGACATATTTTGTAGAGATAATTTTTTAATTAAATTCTAGGTAGAAATTTGTATTATGTATTTTTAAAATATTAAAATTATTTTCATTGTCTTGAAATTTAATAATCATAATATAAAAAAAATACCTAAGAATATTTTAGAAGGTATTTAAAAAAACCTGCAGAGAGCTTTCAACATTTTGCAGCAGCATAAATTTGCAAATGACAACATTACTTGGTGCAATGGGTAACAACTGCTTAATAAAATTATTTTTAAAAGAAATTGAATCAATCTAGTCAGCCTACAATGCATACAACCTGTTTGTAGTTGTCCATGTTGTCATTATTACCAGCTGTATAGAATCAGCAAAATTCTATTTGGTATAAGAATTTAATCTGTGTCAAATGCCAGTTTCAATATAAACTACTTTTATTTTACATTTCAAATTTCTTATTTTTTAAAAATAGCTTTCTACAGAAAGATTATCCAAAATATTTATACTTTTGTTCATTGGTGTTCAATACTGGATTTTGACAATCTCTTACATTTTTACGTAAATTATCTGCATCAAAATTGCAGACACACATAAAAACACGTGGACAAATAATAATAAAAAAGAACACTATTCAAATCACTTTTAGACTTTTACCACATGCATATTGATCAACTTACATGTGTATATTTATGTCATGAATGAGTTTGAAAAGGCTTTTCCAACCAGGCACAAAAGGGTTATCTTTGCCACTCTATTTCCCTTGGAACTCACTAATTTAAGAAAATTCCTATAACGTTACAGAAATTTTCAAAAATTATTTTCACTGTTTTTCTTGTTTTCCAAACTTTTTAAAAATTTATCTGTTTATCTTTTTAAAGTTGATTTTTTTTCTCCCTCAATTATTTCAAAATATAGTTTTTATTTATTTTCTCTTGAAGAAAATAACTTATTCATGAGATATTGAAGTAAATTTATATGAAAATGGCTACGTTATAGAAAAAAAGAGCTCTTACAGATGTAATTTCTATTAATCTCTACACAGTAGATAAATACATAATTATTAATTTAAACATATCAATGGGATAATGATATTCTAGTTTATGTATGCCACATCAGAAATAGTTGGAAGTGATCACTTTTCCAGCTATATGAAATTAATTCACTTGATTTTTCAATTAACAATAAAAGGCATTCTGTTGAAATTTTGTTTGGCAAAAAGTTCTAATTTAAAATTGTTTATAAATACATTAATCAGTCTGTAGCTTGATAAAGAGAAAATATTTTTATACAAAATATCTGTTTTTCAATACAATCTCCTTCTTTGTTATTGCACTTTCAACTCTAAATTCATGTAGTAACTACTTATCAGTCTATGGACTTATTGATACACCTTTATAATTCCATATGGCACATTAAATACTAGCTTAAATATTTGAGTATAATATATCTGTAATTAGTGATTGTAGAGTATATATTAGCATAGAATACTTTTTAGTTAAGAACTGATATCTATATTCAATTATCAATTTTTTATTGTATGTTTGACCAACTACTTAAAGCTTTATTTCAGCCTTCAAATACCATACAAGTCAAATTTGTGAAACATTTGAAACAAGTTCAAACAAAACTGGTGCTTTAAATCATTATATTTTAATGAATAAAAATATTCAGTATTTGTTAGAAAAATCTCACTCCATCTCAATCTCAATGTATAAAAATTTACTTTATTGCTCCTAATACTAGTTTTAATTTAACTATTAAGGGATATAAATACATTTTTGAAAATTATAATCCGTGAAATTGGATTGAAAAAACTGTTTTTCTTTTCTCAAATTTATATTTGTCAATATATTCTTATATGTGAATAAGTGAACATATAGAAAATTTTTTTTTTTTTCGTATTGTATTTGCCAAAACTGGCTTTTCAAATAAATATAATATAATTATTATAAATATAGATATTATTTCTGCATGGAAAGATCATTCAAAATCAATATTAAGGTGCCTTGATTTTAATCTAGTTGAATAAATTTCTAGGAGTAATTTATTAAATATTCAAAATATCTAGAATTTGTAAACAACTATAACTTTTTCTTTACTTTCTGTCTACAGTTGTTAGGATAGACTCTGATATGGTTCATGTAAATACCTGCTTTCTTAATTTTTGGATTATATCTTATGATTCGTGTGGCTGTTTGACTTTTCAGTCTTGCTATTAAATTATTATCAAATCAATCTTGATTTGCTGAAAGAATTTTATCCAAATTTCTTGGAGCCTATTTTTGGTGAAATGAAAGTGTCTTATACCTGTTGTTTTATATTTCATTTCCTAGTTATCCAACCTATGAAGATGTAAAAGCAGCACTGTTACAATCATTTGTCTAGAGCAGGTGGTTACATTGGCTATGCCAAAGTTTTATAAAATAACTTTAAAAAAAATTAATATGGGCTAATTTCTAGGCTTTAAAATTTCATCTTTTTCTTTTTTTTATTACTAAAATATTAGCAAATATCCTTTTGATTTGGAGACTATTGCTGTATAATCCTCTAGTGATGAAGCCTAAAAATGTGTATGACTGTAACAGGCTAAAATTTAAAAAGAAATTACTCTAGGAACAAGGACTTAAAATCTCTTGCTTCAAAATTATTATGCAATAATTTTAAGAATTACTGTTGTACCTTTTGTCCCCACTTTCATATCAAATTATATTTTAACTATTAAAATTAAATTATTTAAAAACAATAATTAATTTTTTTTATTTTTTTTTACTGTTTTAATTAAGTTTTTGCTGTTGATTTCAACTTGTTCTCTGTCCATGAATGAAAAGTACAGGTACAAATATCATATTACAGGTCATTCATTAAGACTATACATTAATTTCTGACATTTGATGAGTACAAAGCTACACCCATTGGCATAGTGGATGAAAGTGTATTAAAACCTTACTCATGAGACATAACCCAAATAATGATTTTGAGTTACATTCTTTATTCATTTTCTGTATCATAAAGAAAATTAATGAATTTTTTTTTTTAGTATAATCTCAAACATAAACATTATTTTCAAACATTTCATGAAATTTACTATAAATTACAATTCAACATCATAAGTTATTTAAAAAATTCAGCACTTACTATTTCCATTGTAGGTACTGTTTCTATAAAATATAAGTTGGATTTAATACCATTATTTATGCTAATGAGTAAGATGTACTGATTTAGTAAGTAAATTTAAAATACAAGATGTTGGTTTCAAAATTGAATGTTTGTTCACTTTAACTGAATATATAAATAAGCAGAATTGGAACAATCATTAATGTGGAGGCAAGTCTGCTTGGTGGCTATAGTAAATGTGTATTTAATTTTGGCACCTGTAAAGCTTTGTTATTCATTCTGTTTAAAAAAGAAAAAATGTTTAAAGGAAATTTTCAAGGCAGTAGACTGGCTATTCTAGTTGTAAGATTGATGTGATCAGCATATTGTAATCAGCATACTTGTAAAATCTATGACACAAATATGATGTACTGTAAATCCCCATGTATAATATGCCGTCATGCATAATACGCATCCCAAAATTTGTGCAGAAAGTGTAGGAAAATGCTTCTACTCAAACATAATATGCACCCCCTTTTTTCTTTTTTTTTTTTTTTTTTTAAATCAAATCCTATAATTTGTACCTCTCTAATTTCATTACAGCCAGTGTTTCCTTATAAAAAAAATGGTTTTAAACATAGAATATTATTATTCTAATTTAATTTTATGATAATTCTTATTTTATTTTACATTTCTAAGTATTGTTAGGTACATGTGATTGTATTTGACATCCTTATGGGGTCACAATCACTGAATGTTAGTGTCAAATTTTCATAAGTTTATGGTGAGTAATCATTTTGTAACTGAAATCAACCTATGAAATGGCAATATTTTTAAAGATTTTTTTCTGGCTGTGCATAATACGTTTTCCTAATTTTGCTTATTATACATGGAGAATTACTGTAAATATCTATCATTAATATTGAGAAAATAAGATTTCTAAAGCTGATCTTTGGTCATGTAATTTGAAACAAACTTTCTGAAATAGTTTACACCAGTGTTAACTGAGCAAAAATATATGAAACATTTTAGGATTAATAATTAGAATTTATTTTATATGAATAAAAAGAGACAAGAGGAAAAACTATTCTTAGCTGACAGGTTTCCATCCTCTGAAGGACTTTATCAAGCCAATTTTATTCATTTTCTCTCTTCTACATATACATTCTATCTGAGAATATTTATATACACACACACACACACACACACACATATATATTATACATACATATTTTAACATATATATTTATAAAAATATAAACACTAAAGAGT